AACAAGAACATTCGAGAGTGGTGTAGGGAGTGTCTTCCTTGTCAGAAATCGAAAATATCTCGACACAATATCCTGTTGCCGTCACAATTCGTGGCCCCTGAAGATAGATTCCGCCATGTCCACATCGACATCGTTGGACCAATGGCTTCCTGTGATGGTTTTAGATATTGCCTCACAATAATTGATCGTTTCTCGCGTTGGATCGAGGCGATTCCGTTGAGGAATATAGAGGCACTAACCGTGTATCGCGCGTTTGTGGATGGATGGATTACTCGTTTTGGAACTCCTGAAACCCTTACCACAGATCAGGGTAGCCAATTCGAGTCAACCATTTTCAAATCATTACTTCATCTTTCTGGATGTAAGCGTATTCGAACTACAGCCTATCACCCCGCGGCAAACGGTTTAATTGAACGATGGCATCGCACCCTAAAGGCTGCCATAATGTGCCATGGTAACGAAAAATGGACTCACGTATTGTCGACTGTATTACTTGGATTGAGAACAAACGTTCTTGATTCGGGGGCATCACCCGCCGAATACCTGTATGGAACTACTTTGAAGATTCCAGGTGAGTTCGTTCTCCCCGAGGAATTTAATCCTGACCCGCAGATATTCCTTGAAGAATTTCGTGAACACATTAAACTCATTAAACCAATTCCTGTAGAGCACAGACATAAAAGGAAGATTTTCGTTTATAAAAATTTAAATTCATGTTCACACGTTTTTCTCAAACGCAACGGTGTTAAGAAATCTTTAGAATCACCATACTCGGGACCACATAAGGTAATTAAAAGAGTAAATGATAGGATTTTTGACATTGACGTTAACGGTATTAAAAAATCGGTTTCCGTAGAAAACATCAAACCGGCATTCTTTGCCCGGGAGGATTTGAATTTATCGAATGACTGTAGTAAGAGTATTGCGTCTGATGTTCCTTCGAACGATATTGTAATTCTTCCAACAAATAATATTATACCTTCGAATGACAATTCTAAACCAATTGGAAAAACAAATAATATTGTACCTTCGAACGATAATTCTAAACCAATTGGAAAAACTAATAATATTGTACCTTCGAACGATAATTCTAAAGCAATTGGAAAAACTAATAATATTGTATCTTCGAACGACAATTCTAACCCAATTGGAAAAACTAACAATATTGCAATTCCTAAAATTAAAACATACAGCAATAAGAAAAAGAAGGTCACATTTAATTTTACTCATAAATTAGATCATAATTATTCTAGTATACGTTAGTTGGAATTAAGAAAATCACGTGATATTAGATAAATCAAATTATTTTTTTTACTATATATTTTATATATAATGTATTTTCTTTAAATAAAAAAAAAACGTATCGTTAAACACTCGGGGGAGAGTATGTGGGGAATAGCAGGCTTGTTGCTTCCCCTCTTCCGCTGATCTCCCTCCATGCGTAGAGTGGGATAGGATGAATGATAGTTAGTTCATATAGAGTCTCGAGACTGACACGACAAATGTATTACAATTATATTATTATATAGAAGATAGAATTTAGTGGAGTGATAATAAATTATCTTGTTATATTATTAAATAATGATTATTTAATATTATCCCGAACACAATAATGGGAATGATAAATAATTATTTATTGTATTAAATATTTCCCACAATTTAAATATTTCCCACAGTGTGTTGCCGACTTTAATTAACCTGTTTTATTGAACATTGAAGTTAGTTTACCGACCACCTAATAGATGGCGCTCACCTCAGAGTGTTGTGGGGAATAGCAGGCTTGTTGCTTTTCCTCTTCCGCTGATCTCCCTCCATGCGTAGAGTGGGATAGGATGAATGATAGTTAGTTCATATAGAGTCTCGAGACTGACACGACAAATGTATTACAATTATATTATTATATAGAAGATAGAATTTAGTGGAGTGATAATAAATTATCTTGTTATATTATTAAATAATGATTATTTAATATTATCCCGAACACAATAATGGGAATGATAAATAATTATTTATTGTATTAAATATTTCCCACAATTTAAATATTTCCCACAGTGTGTTGCCGACTTTAATTAACCTGTTTTATTGAACATTGAAGTTAGTTTACCGACCACCCAATAGATGTCGCTCACTTCAGTCTATTGTTTTAAACTTTTTTACTGAATTAGTTTACCGACCACCCAATAGATGGCGCTCACTTCAGTCTATTGTTTTAAACTTTTTTACTGAATTAGTTTTACCGACCACCCAATAGATGGCGCTCACTTCAGTCGGTGGTTTTTAACATTTTTTACTGAATTAGTTTACCGACCACCCAATAGATGGCGCTCACTTCAGTCTGTGGTTTTAAACTTTTTTACTGAATTAGTTTACCAACCACCCAATAGATGGCGCTCACTTTTATTATCAACTTTTTTTTAAAAAATATTTTTCAATTAAAACTGTTTTACCGACCGACTTAGTTTACCCGATAGGTGGCGCTTACCTTTCTTATCGACTTTGTATTTTTAGATATTATTTTAAATTTATTTCCACGCAACAGTGCTGCGCTCTTTACCTCATGGTAAAATTCTCGCTCGGTCGATAGTTGGTAACTGGTCGACCGAGCGTGCGAGCTAGTTGTGTCTAGAGATGGATGATGGCTATTATGAGCTGTCTGCGGGGGAAAATAATGAGGAGCCACCACCGGCAGTAAGTATAATTAATTTTCAAAATTTAAATTTGAAATTAACTCTTTTTCTTTTTAGTTCCAAACTCCACCACCAGGGGAAGGGGGAACTCCCATTCCAGAGTCACCCAACTCCTGGGTGACTGAAATGGAGTTGCCGGTGATGGTAATTCCGAGGCGCCGCCACCATCGCCACCGCCATCATCGCCGCCATCGTCGTAGCTTCCACTACCGGCACACTCATCGCCACCGCCATCACCTTTCCACCGGTGGGTATATTCTTACTACCAGGACGGTGGTGGTGAGGGTGACGGCGGTCGTGACTACGACGATGGCTTCATAGCATTTTGGAAAAAAAATAAAATAAAAAAAAATAAATAAAATAAAAAAATTTTCTCGACTCATCTCTTTGCGCATGTGCAGTAAGAGTTAGTCTATCTACGCATGCGTGAAAAGTTCAGAATATTAAATATATATATATGCTATTGTATATATATATTTTAAAAATGATCGAGTTTACAATGTCTGCGCATGCGTGAATAGTATTCTGGGGAGGCCCATGCTATGGCGCGTGCGCGGTTATATTTAGCTATAAATACAAGGATTTCAAGCCGTGAAACTCATTCTATTCTGTGAGCTAGTGCAGCTTAGTCGCAGCAAAGCAAACTGTAATAGAGCGATCTTTTATTTAAGGTATTTTTTCTTGCGTTTTGACATTTAATTTTATTTTATAAGTTTTTTTTGTGTGCTTGGTTCTTTTTTTGCGTGTTATTAGATTAAGGATTAGTATATAAGTACGTTTTTTCTTTTTTTATTAATTTCTTTATTATTCATTTTTTTTTCTTTATTACTTTATTTATTGTTCTTTATTATTATTATTTTGTTTATAAATTTTTTGTTCTATTTTTATATTATTTATTTCTATTGTTTTTTTATTTATTTTTACGCGACAATGCCTGGTAAACGAAAGTTTGCAGGCATTGGGAGACCTGCGAAGCGACCCAATTATCAGACCATCCTTGATGAGTGCGAGGTCACTATTGCACTCATCAAGGATGCTCTTGAATTACTCGCGAGTTTGCGCAATGGCGCTGTTAAAAACGAGTTTATAGCGCGATGGGTTGCAGAATGTTCTTGCAACGAACAAGTTTTAACAAGTCTTTTAAGATCTATGCAATTTACGCATGAGAAAAGTCGTTGCCAGAACATTCTACAATTCATTATGAGATTTAGAGTTTTGTTCGAATCTCAAGCGGTAGAGGGCGGTGGTATACAAGACCCTAATATTAATAATCGCGTGCGTTGGGCTATGTGTGAGTCAGCGTTTGAGTGCCGATTGTACACGTATGTCATATTAAATATTGTACATGTAGAGATAGGTGCGTTTTTGAACGATGCGGCCATTTTGTTTCAAGAGCACATTCAAGATGCCTTAAATCAAAATGGTCCCATTATCGTATATGGTGTTTTAACTGCTAATTTTAAAAGAGTGCAGAATGAAGTGGAGGTAGTGCAGCCAATTCCATTCTCTTCTAAATCTAACAGCATCTTCCCCACAACTTTATTGGAGGACTGGTTCGAGGTCAATTTGAAGCAGCCAATCCTGAGGAATGTGGAGGAGTTCCATGAAAAGGGGTCCAGCTGGAATCTACAGTCTATAGTTAAGTTAGAAATTAATGTTAATAAATATAACCCCATGCGTGCGAGTTCATATATCAGTTTACCCCCAAAAATAAGAGCCAACCATGCGTGTATTAATGTAAAAAATGAAAAAGATAATAAGTGTTTTAAATGGGCTATACTTTCCGCTTTACATGACGTGTCACATCCCAAACGTGTGTCTAGTTACACTGATATTGAAAATGAATTAAATTTTGATGGTATTGAATTTCCTGTAGCGCTGAAAAGTATACCTAAATTTGAAATGCTCAACAATATCTCGATAAATGTATACGGTCTTACTAAAAGATATGGTAATTTCTCTGTTCACCCTCTTCATCTGACCGCAGAGAAGAGGGATCAGCATGTAAACCTGTTACATGTAGTAGATTATTATATAGATGAAAGTGTTAATGAAGATAATGTAAACAATGATTCTAACGATATTGATTTTATGAATTTCCACTATGTTTGGATTAAAAATTTATCGCGGTTAGTATCCAAACAATTGACTAACCATAAATGTAAAAAATATATTTGTGATCGTTGTTTACACTATTTTTCATCAGCGGAAAGATTGAATGTACACGATGAAAATTGTAAACGTATGAATGTATGTAGCGTAAAATTACCGAATGCTGAAAATTGTAAAATTACCTTTAAAAATTATGATAATATGGAGAAAGTTCCTTTTATCATCTATGCCGACTGTGAAAGTTTACTTCTTCCCGTTGAAGAAGATACAGATAATTTAAGTAAAACTGAAATTTTCCAGCGCCATAAATTGCTTAGTATAGGTTATTATGTAAAATGTAGTTACGATGACTCATTGTCCGTGTATGTACCGTGTCCGAGGCAGGAAAATGATCCTGCCAAGTGGTTTGCTGACGAGTTAAGGCAATTTTCCGAGAAAATTGATAATGTATTTAAGAATCCTATTTCTATGGATGCCTTAACTCATCAGCAAATTGCTGATTTTAAGAAAGCAAGCGTATGCCATATTTGCCGTAAGAATATACCAGCTAATGTTAAAAAGGTTCGCGATCATTGTCATCTTACTGGCAAATATAGAGGTGCTGCGCATGAATCATGCAACTTGAATTATCATGAGTGCCAAATCGTACCCATTGTATTTCATAATTTAAGTGGGTACGATGCACACTTTACAATTCATGCTGTATCGACGAGCTTTGAAGGTCGAGTTGACCTCCTCCCCTTGAACAAGGAGAAATATATCTCCTTTACGAAAAATATCAAGGGGAGTGTGGTTAAATTACGCTTCATTGACTCGTTTAGATTCAAGGCAGCATCTCTAGAAAAATTAGCGTCATATCTTGACGAATATAAAATTGTTGAATCCGTATTTGCCAGTACGGTGACAGATCGCGAAAAAATTAAATTATTAACGAGAAAAGGTGTCTTCCCTTACGAGTATTTAGACTCGCGAAGTAAGTTGGATGACACCGAATTACCAGCTAAAGAGAGATTCTATAGTACTCTCTATGATGCTGGTATATCCGATGGTGAATATGAGCATGCGCAAAAAGTCTGGTCTGAATTTAATTGTCAAACCTTTAACGATTACGTTCACCTTTATATGAAAACAGACGTGTTATTACTCACCGATGTCTTTGAGAACTTTCGCGAACAATGTTTAAACGCGTACAGGTTAGATCCAGCACACTATTATACTACCCCCGGTTTAACTTGGGATGCTATGCTCAAATATACGGGCATAACATTGCAACTTATAACCGATATAGACATGATGATGTTTATTGAGTCGGGTATCAGAGGTGGTATTAGCCAGTGTTGTAACCGTTACGCTAAAGCGAACAATCCCTATATGGATCAGTTCGATCCTACGCAAGACACCCAATATATTATGTATTTTGACGCGAATAATTTATATGGTTGGGCAATGGCACAAGCGCTACCAATTGGTGGTTTCAAGTGGATTGCCAACCCAGACGAGACCTTTAACTTCAACGTACCCGACGACTCTTCAGTCGGGTACATTTTGGAAGTCGATCTCGAATATCCCGAGAGCCTTCACGATTCTCATAAAAACATACCGTTTTGCGCAGTTAATGCAAAACCTCCCATGTCTAAGCAGGAGAAATTACTCACAACTCTCCTGCCTAAAGAGAAGTACGTGATGCATTATCGTGCATTGAAACAGGCTCTCGGGAACGGTCTCAAACTAGTCAAAATACATCGGGTGCTCCAATTCAACCAATCACAATGGTTGAAACCCTATATAGACTATAATACTGCCATGCGAACAACTCCAAAAAATGAATTTGAAAAGAATTTATTCAAATTAATGAATAACGCAGTGTATGGTAAGACCATGGAAAATGTTCGCAAGCATGTAGACATTAAATTGGTTACACACTGGTTCGGCAGATATGGTGCCGAAGCCCTCATCTCTCGGCCCAATTTCCACAGTCGTGCAATATTCGATGAAGACCTTGTGGCCATCGAATTACGAATGACTGAGGTCCTACTCAATAAACCGATTTATGTGGGTTTAAGTGTGTTGGATGTCTCGAAAACGCTTGTCTATGACTTTCACTACAGTTACATGCTTCCGAAATATGGTGAAGCATGTAAACTGTTGTATACAGACACTGACAGTCTAGTGTACGTAGTGAAATGTCAAGACATATATAAAGATATGAAAGAAGACATCCACAAGTTCGACACATCTGACTATCCGGTAAACAATGCGTATGGTATTCCGCAAGTCAACAAAAAAGTTCTCGGCCTAATGAAGGACGAGTGCAATGGTAAAATTGTTACTGAATTTGTTGGCTTGCGGAGTAAAATGTATAGCATACGCGTTGAAGGTGAAGATTTCGTTAAGAAAGCTAAAGGCATTAAAGCGGGAGTCGTCAAAAAGTCTATTCATTTTGACGATTACGTTGAATGCTTGCGTGATTTTAAGATTCAGACTAGAACTCAATACAACATTAGGTCACGGTTACATAATATAGAAACTGTTAAACAAGTTAAAGTAGCATTAAGTCCATATGACGATAAAAGATACTTGCTTACCGAGAGTACCGATACTCTACCCTGGGGTCACTACAGGATCCCAGAAATCGAAGAATTGTAAATATTTTTGTAAAATAAAATGTAAGGATTTTCATATTAAATAAATGTAAAAAAATATTATAAATTTTATGTATTTTTTTATTTATAAAAACCTTGTATATACATAACTCATAATTAAAATTGATTTAATTTAAATATTAATAAAAATTTGATTTTTATAATTTTGTTCTAATAATAAACATTGACAATGCCAAATTCAAATATTAATCTCAAAATTGAAACAAGCAGAAATCAATTTGAAACAATTATCACAAAGTGAATTTAATACTCTCTATAATGTAACTGTTTAATAAAATATAATTTAAACATTATTGTAGAACTCTAGTCCTGGAATAAAATCTTCGACAAAGTGCAACATACTTTCATGATATGCACGTAGTAATTTTACATAATTTAAGGTTAAATCATTGTTGATTCATTGTTGATTCACTATTGATTCATTATTGATTCATTATTGATTCATTGTTGATTCATTGTTGATTCATTATTGATTCATTATTGATTCATTATTGATTCATTATTGATTCATTATTGATTCATTGTTGATTTAACCTTAAATTATGTAAAATTACAACGTGCATATCATGAAAGTATGTTGCACTCTGTGGAAGATTTTATTCCAGGACTAGAGTTCTACAATAATGTTTAAATTATATTTTATTAAACAGTTACATTATAGAGAGTATTAAATTCACTTTGTGATAATTGTTTCAAATTGATTTCTGCTTGCTTCAATTTTGAGATTAATATTTGAATTTGGCATTGTCAATGTTTATTATTAGAATAAATTTTGATTTAAGTTATAAATTTGCTTTCTCTTCCCAAGTATTGTGAGAGTTATCAAAGCCAAGCCATTTGACGAGAACTTTATTTCCACGTGTCTTGAGAATTTTTTCAACCAGATAAATATCTGGATATTTTACTTTAAGAAGTTCCTCTGCATAGAATCCTCCACTAATGGGTTGATCTTGATAGTCTTTGAGTTTATAAGTTATAGGTTTAGTTGACAAGACTTGATCTATTGTGAATATTTCTGTTGTCCAATTGGGAGTGTAACCTTTCTCAAACACGCTTTTATACTTGCTGACTCGAACTTTGTCACCAATTCTAAACTTTGCTTTCTTTAAAGGTATTTTTCTTAGCTTTAAAAATCGTTCTTTCAAAATCTCAACATCTTCTGCAGTAACATCTTTCGGCTTCATTCCAATAGTCCGATGTTTAGTGTTATTATAATTGGAAATAAGATTAGGTAATATATCATACCATTTATAATTTCCACTTAGACTGAATTGCATCCACATTTTTCGTTTTAGAGTTCGATTAAATCGTTCAACAATAGATGCTTTCAAATTACTGAATGTTGAGTAGAAATTAATTTTATACTTTTTCATTAAAGCTTCAAACTGAGAATTATAGAATTCTTTACCTTTATCAGAATGTAGATTTTTTGGAATACGTCCTTTTATGAATATGGATTTCATAGCGTTAGTGACATCTTTTCCTTTTTTACTTTTTACAGGAACAGCCCAAGCGTATTTGGAAAATATATCTATAACTGTTAGTAAATACTTAAAACCTTTATTTACTTGGGAATAAGGTAACATTTCTACTAAATCTGCTTGCCAAGTCTCATCAATATCACGCATGTCGACTCGGCGGCGATGATAATTCCTCCTTGCCTGACTATGAAGTTCAGTCACTACTGTTTTCTTTTTGTCGTTCATTTTCTAGAGTACTCAAACGAGCATCCAATTGACTGATAATTTCAGCGTTTCGATATGATAAATCAGTATTTATTTCTCTTTCCAAGACTTTTAATTTTTCGTTTATAGAGTCTTCGAGAATTTTTAATAATATATAGTTATTATCAATTTCTTTTCGCAGTGTAGACGTTACTTGATATATTAGTCTTAACTCGTTTTCGACTAAACGTTGTGCAAGTTGTAAATTAACTACGTCAGTTTTTTCATTTGCATCAGCAACATTGGAAATTTTTCTACCCTGTAAGTCGAAGTGACCTTCTGAGTTAATTTTAAAACCAATTCCAGGTGGACCTGGAGGTCCTCTTGCGACCCTTACAATTCCTCTTTCATTAAGAGGATGTCCGAACACATCAATGCTCATCTTAAGACTGAGAGAAAGTTGATGGAACACCTCCTTATATACTTTTCTTGAGCCTGACTAAATGAAACAATAATTTTCAATATATAATTTGCGCTTCACGTAATTCTTCTATGATTGACATAATTTCATTATTGTGACTGGGATTTCCAGCTGCTTGAGATGCCATAAGCAATCGAAGACGGTCAACCAATTCGTTAGGATCATCCCAATAGATATAGTCTGGTTGAAAACTTTTTTTTACAATCATAAAATGTGGTAGTGAAGTGCCAGTTTTCGATCGTCTTTTTGGTGTTTCATTATGAGGAAAAAGTTTTAAAATAATATTGACATATTTAAAAGTTTTACTTGTACGTATAGGTTCAGAAGAACTATAATTTTTTCTGTGAGCATTGGAGATGATGAGAATTTGTTTATAATTATTCATATCATCATCGCTAATGTATGACATTTCAGGTTTATTTTTAAATAACAGTTCCAATAAACCAGAAGTAATATTAAAACGTTTATCACCAACATTTATTAAGTGATCTTTAAAACTTATTGGTGCATCACCAATCTTGAGAGAACCATTTTTAACCTTATATACGCCGTACAACGTATCTAAACATTGCTTTCTATTATGATCTAGCAAGTATATATATTTATTAACTACTTTATCATATTCAAAGCCTGGAATTACTGATGTTTCATCTTCATCAGCACTCAAAAAATTCATACTATCATCTAATTCATCTTTACTTTTAATTACCTCCTCCTTCTTTTCTATCTTATGATTTTCATGTTTAACATCAGAGAGGTTAACAATTTTCTCTAAGGGTTGAACTATAGGTTTAAAAGTTTCACTCAAAACATTTTCAACAGCTTCTTTTCCAATTTTTAACATGCGATGTTTCCGTCTAATGGCCTCACTAGCTTTGGCAATTTGGCGGAGATACTCTTTCTCCTTACGAAACATGTTGTTAGTTCAAAGATGTACACTAGACTAATACTCATGGAACCAATCACCTTCTATTTATAGTGTTATGAAGCAGTCAAAACCTTTCCTATATCTCCTCTCATTCAGATTGCAGTCTTTATCAATGACTACGAAGCCATATTTATCAGAGTTCCAACATGTTGAACAAAGCTCACGAAACTTGGTAAATGTCATGTCTGTATTAACATGATCATCATACACATGTTTTAAATTTGTTTCATCCTGACGAAAAAGAACTAATAAATTAACATTATCTCTTACTAAATGTTTGGGAATCCTCGCATATGTCTGACAGAGATAAAAGCAATCAACATTGACATGTCTACCCATGCAGAAGAAAGCTCTTATTTTATCTTGCTTTTCACAAGCTACGTCATCAAATATAAAAATAGAATTTGGCCTTGCACCTTTTGGGGAAATTACATCTTCATGCTCGCTAAATGGTAAATATTTAATTCCCTTAACACTACCTATAACTTTTTCCAAAAATTTGTACTTTGGTTGGTGAAGAGATTTTGAGTAGAGATAAATATTATTAAATCTCAGACCATTTGGATGTAAAATTAGAGAAAGTAGTACATTTGTTTTACCACAATTTGATGGTCCACAAAAAATTGCACGAATACTACCAGACAACAAACTACCATGACGCTTCACTTGCTTCTTATCGTACTGTTCTACAATCGCATCTAGATTCACGACTGGAAGCTTGTAATGTTGTTGCTTGAATCGCATTCTGAAATAGACTGCCGCAAAAGGTATAAATACAGCCCGTATATAGCTTACGAGTCATTCTACTTTTAACTTTCATAGAGTGAGGTATGATTATACATCACCGCTCCCGAGGTAAAGGTTTAGTTAACAGTCTTATAAATAAGTTACCATTTGAATTACACATACCTGGTTATCAATACTGTGGTCCAGGTACTAAATTGATAAAGCGTTTAGCACGAGGTGATACAGGTATAAATCCATTAGACGAAGCTTGCAAAGAGCACGATATTGCATATTCAGAGAATCGTAATAACGTTCAAGCAAGAAACGCTGCTGATAGGATTTTAGCTGATAAGGCGTGGCAACGAGTTTTAGCTAACGATTCCAGTGTAGGTGAAAAAGCTGCTGCTTTAGCTATATCTGGTACAATGAAGGTCAAATCAAAATTAGGTATGGGAATGAGAAGAAAAAAGACATCTAAAAATAAGAAGAAGAAGCAGAAACAAACAGTATTAAGAAAAATTGTTGATGCTGCTAGACATTCCATTATTCCGGGAAATGATACTCAATCTACAAACAAAGTTGCAGTTGAAAATGCTCGAAAAGCTATTAGAAGAGCAGGTGGTAGAAGTAAAATTTTAACACCTCGCATTCTACCAGTACCTTCAAAAGTTGGTGGTCTCTTACCATTAATTCCAATTTTTGCTGGACTCAGTGCTCTTGGAGCTCTTGCTGGTGGAACAGCAAGTATAGTGAAAGCAGTAAACAACGCAAACGCAGCAAAAGAGCAGTTGAAAGAAGCTCATCGTCACAATAGAGTAATGGAAGATGTTTCTTTAGGTAAAGGTCTTTTCTTGAAACCCTATCGACAGGGATTGGGACTTTATTTGAAACCTTACTCTAAAGGATTAGGTATGAGGCAAAAAAAAAAGATGTTTAAAAAAAAGTTCTCATAAAACTTCCTCAACGAGCATTAACTAACTATGATTTGCTCAAATACGCTAAAGAGATAAAAATTCCTCATTTTCGGGGAGTATTCATGCGAAATGAGTTGCCAATAGGAGGACCTCGGAAAAATGAATCTGCCATTATTAATCTCGATAATAAGGATGGTCCTGGAACACATTGGGTTGCTTATAAAAAGCTTCAAGATAAAGCATTGTATTTTGACAGCTTTGGTAACCTTC